GGGCCTTCGAGTGACTCTTTCAAGATAGGTAGCCCATAGCGATTTCACCTAGCAGCGGTCCAGAAGTGTAGCGCGAGCCAGAAGAAGTGTTTCACCTTCGGTTTAGGTTTTGAATATGGTATAATGAGTAATGTGAAAAGCAGACTTTGGCGGCTTATTCTTTTAGGTTTTTTGGGGGGCTTATTGATAGATGTTGATTCTTCAGTCAAGCACACTCAATCCAGTGGTCGTATATATCCTGCATGCCGTCAAACGTTGGTGTCGCCTTCCCAAGAAAATAAATAAAGTATCAATTATTGGTGCTCCATGATATATCTAGGACCTTAGCTAATTTATCGGTGTTAAAGTAATTGGATTTGCACCCCTTTCTGAAGCTAAATCTATTCAGATTTGCCAAGTGCACGTACTACTGCCGTAGTGGAAGGTAACTTTTTCATAAGATTAATTGATGACACCATATGATGATGATTATCGATGGTTTAAGATTAGTCACTTCCATTGATCCAAATGTAGCATTCCCCACACAGGTACTGTTGCTTTATTTGTCAGAGACAGCCATGTGGCTTCACTGATTGAGCACTCAATTTACTGTTCGTGTGTTCTGATTGTTTATCACAAGTAGCAAGCTAAGTGTCACGGCTCCATCAGCTATCTCTCGAGCTGTGCTTGACAACGAAGTTTTCTAGGCATGGCATGGCAGAACCAAATGTAAACTAGGAGAAAACGCATGTTTCAAGGACAGGCATTGCCTATCAAAAACAGTATCTTGTTTAGCCACCACCTTTCACATAATGTGTCTCAAAAACTTTATCCTACCAGTTTCAGACTTTAAACAAAATCACCGGCATAAAAATCTCTATCATTAAAGAAAGCACCACCACACCACTTGCTAGCTAATCAATTGCAGTTCCAATACTTTTAAGGATGTACTGTACTGTACTAACTGTATTATACAAGACAGTACCGTCAGTGCTTTAATTTACAGTTGCCCCAGTGCCTTTTTGTCAGTACCGGCGATCTTCATGACATCATAAATAGCCGAGCTGTTCCTTCACAGTTTTGAACTGCCTTTTGTAAATACTCCTACATAGATGCAGCAGTGCAACACTGCAACTTTGCAAGGCCGGGACCATGCATGTCCTTTCACTCGAGCGAGCATCACTCTGTCACACTTGCTTGCAAACACAAGAGAGGTCAGGATGAAGACGACGACGAGGACGCTTAACCTATCTCTTTGTCACTTGGCAGGCAGGAGCTTACTAGCTAGCTACCAACACGGCCCCTAATTGGCCTGTCCATCTTGCTAGATGTGGGGGCGCCCCTAATTGGCCTGTCCACAGAAAGCTTGCTTGCGTGCGTGCTTGCTTATAAGGACCCCAAATCTTAGGTGAAAGGTTGGCAAGCAGTCTCAGACTCAGAATGGAGCCGGCGGAGCCTCAGCAAGTGGAGCTCAGCCACCTGGAAGGCCGCCGCCGGAATGCCAGCAGCAGGCCAGGCACCAATGGTGGAAGTGCAAGAACCGGTGAGCTTTTCTTCGATTCTCTTCTTGACAGGAATGAATTCCTTCTTGTGTTCTTCTTTGGTTTTCTTCTGCTGACTGAGACTATAATTTGGTGTTTTTTCAGACGACGATGATTCTGCAGAGAAAGAGGAGGTAGACGACTGCCCGATCGAGGAGGTCCGGCTGACGGTGCCGATCACCGACGACCCGGCATTGCCGGCGCTGACGTTCAGGACCTGGTTCCTGGGGCTCCTCTCCTGCGCGCTGCTGGCCTTCTCCAACCAGTTCTTCGGGTACCGTCAGAACCCGCTGTACATCTCCTCCCTGTCGGTGCAGATCGTGGTGCTGCCGCTCGGCAAGTTCATGGCGGCGTGCCTCCCCAGCAAGACCGTCCGGATCATGGGGTGGTCCTTCTCCCTCAACCCGGGGCCTTTCAACCTCAAGGAGCACGTGCTCATCACCATCTTCGCCAACACCGGCTCCAACTCCGTCTACGCCGTCGGCATCATCACCATCGTCAAGGCGTTCTACCACAGGGAGATCCACCCGCTGGCCGCCATGCTGCTCACCCAGACCACGCAGCTGATGGGGTACGGCTGGGCGGGCCTCTTCAGGAAGTTCCTCGTCGACTCGCCCTACATGTGGTGGCCGGCGAACCTGGTGCAGGTCTCCCTCTTCCGGGCGCTGCACGAGAAGGAGAAGAGGCCCCGGGGAGGCACCACGAGGCTGCAGTTCTTCCTCACCGTGCTCGCCGCCAGCTTCGCCTACTACATTGTGCCCAACTACCTGTTCCCGACCATCTCCACCATCTCGGTGGTGTGCCTCGTCTGGAAGAACTCGGTGACGGCGCAGCAGATCGGGTCCGGCGTGTACGGCCTCGGCGTCGGCGCGTTCGGCCTGGACTGGGCCACCGTGGCCGGGTTCCTTGGCACGCCGCTGTCGACGCCGGCGTTCGCCATCGTCAACATCATGGCCGGCTTCTTCCTCATCGTCTACGTGATCATTCCCCTCGCCTACTGGAGCGACGCGTACGGCGCCAGGCGGTTCCCCATAATCTCCTCCCACGTGTTCATGGCCAACGGCAGCCGGTACGACGTGAACCGGGTGCTGGACCCCAACACGTTCCAGTTCAGCCAGGCCGGCTACGACGGGGCCGGCCAGATCCACCTCAGCATCTTCTTCGCCTTCACCTACGGCCTCAGCTTCGCGACGCTGGCGGCCACGCTGTCCCACGTCGCGCTCTACCACGGCAAGTCGATATGGGAGCAGACCAAGGCGACGGTGCGTGCCGGCGGCGGCGACGTGCACGCCCGGCTGATGAGGAGGAACTACGCCGCCGTGCCGCAGTGGTGGTTCCAGGTGATGCTGGTAATCGTGCTCGGCCTCTCGCTCTTCACCTGCGAGGGCTTCGGCCAACAGCTCCAGCTCCCGTACTGGGGTGTCCTCCTCGCCGCCGGCATCGCCTTCTTCTTCACGCTCCCCATCGGCATCATCACGGCCACCACCAACCAGCAGCCGGGGCTCAACGTCGTGACGGAGCTCATCATCGGCTACCTCTACCCGGGTCGACCGCTCGCCAACGTGGCGTTCAAGACGTACGGCTACATCAGCATGTCGCAGGCCATCATGTTCCTGCAGGACTTCAAGCTGGGCCACTACATGAAGATTCCGCCGCGCTCCATGTTCGCCGTGCAGCTCGTCGGCACCGTGCTAGCGTCGTCGGTCTACTTCGCCACGTCGTGGTGGCTGCTGGAGAGTGTGCCCAACATCTGCGACCCGACGAAGCTGCCGGAGGGGAGCCCCTGGACGTGCCCCGGCGACGACGTCTTCTTCAACGCGTCCATCATCTGGGGCGTCGTGGGACCGCTGCGGATGTTCGGCCGCCTCGGCCTGTACTCCAAGATGAACTACTTCTTCCTCGCCGGCGCGCTGGCACCGGTGCCGTTCTGGGCGCTGGCGCGCGCGTTCCCAGACAGCGCCTGGGCGCCGTGGCTCCGCCTCGTCAACATGCCCGTGCTGCTGGGCGCCACGGGGATGATGCCGCCGGCGCGCTCCGTCAACTACCTCATGTGGGGCGCCGTCGGCCTCGCCTTCAACTACGTCGTTTACCGGCGGTACAAGGCCTGGTGGGCGCGGCACAACTACGTGCTCTCCGCGGGCCTCGACGCCGGCGTCGCCTTCATGGGCATCGTCTCCTACGCCGTGCTGCAGTCCAGAGGCATCAATGGCGTCGACTGGTGGGGGCTGCAGGTCGACGACCACTGCGCGCTGGCGAGGTGCCCCACGGCGCCGGGAGTCAGTGCACCCGGCTGCCCCGTTCACTAGACACACTCAGCCACTCAGGGCTGGCCGACACGCACGCGCTACTTTATTTTCTTCCAGGATGGTTAACGGTGGTGTAGCCGTGTGGTATTCTATATACTGTAGTAGTAGTAGTAGTAGTAGTATAGCTAAACCTAATCTCATCTCAGTCAGAAAAAGATTGTTATCACTGTACAAGGGAACAAAACGAAACAATGCTTGCAAAGGCATTGTGCCTTTGCTAATACAGTTAGCATACATGTCCATGTCTTACTCGAGAAGCAATTGTATAAAGACAATCTTTGACGAAATATCATGAACACAACTCCGCGGGTTTCGTAATAGGTGACTGCTAATCAGTCGTTCACCTAACGTTTCCTGAATATTGGGGGTCAAACGGAAACGGCGTACCACGGGCTAAACGACCATTTGGTATTTGGACAAACAATGGACAAACTTGGTTGAAAAACTTCTGTTCAAACCTCACAAAAATTATGAAAGATGTCAGTTTTGAGTAAATATGAATCAGTAACTGTGCTAGATGAACTTGTTATAGGAGCTCAGGTGCGCAGCTCATCTTCACTGGTGCGTTCAAATATGCATGATCCAACTCGTGCACCAAGCATAGGACAACAAATTGATTAGATTTTTCAGATTCAAGATGCAGATATATGAGGAGAGAGAGACATTGAAGTCCATCGTATAGGGCAATAGCGTTCTTTATAGCACTTTGTATACACAGGCATCGATTACTAGTGATCACAGATTAAGCTAAAAACAAGGAAGCTAACAACATAAGGCAATGCTTTTCATGTGTAAATCAAAGAGTGAATAACTTAACATGCATAATGCTAAGTGATAGAGACTGACTCTCCTAATGTTCACACAGCTAATCTGCTTGCAGAGGTATCCTTACAAAGAAGCTTAAAACTACAAGTATACCAGAAATCTAGATTATGCCAAACATAACCTTCAATATGACACCTACTCTGGATGACTGGATCACAACATGCTATGGGATTAGAAGCTAAAGCTCAGGTGAACTTGAAAACATGTACACATGACATTAAGTTGGGCTTGAAGCTTCAGGTAGCTGGATATTTTCCAGAAAAGCTGGGCAGTGGGTGCTCTCCAATGACAGGCAGCAAACATGCAGGATAGTTCTAAGCCAGGAAATCCTTCTCAAGGGCTCTTCTTGTCATCCATACGGGTGATATCGTCCATATCCACCAGTGAAGCTTCCCCTATTCGTGTCAGGTGTGCTAGCAGATCCATAACCACCTAGCGTAGGATCATATGCCCCACCGTAGGCGGTGCCACTAAAGCCAGAACTACCAGGGCCACCAAAGCTCTCATCAGCATAACCACCAAACCCAGAATTACCAGGGGCACTGAAGCTCTCATCAGCACCACCGCGTCTATAGGCACTTAAGTCACCAGCAGCATAAGCTCCACCAAAACCTCCTCCATATAACCCAAAGCGACCGGGATAACCAAACGAAGACGCGGCTCCGTAGCCCCCTAATCCTGCATAGTAACGACCATATGCACCACCAAAATCACCTATCCCACCATAGTTGCCGAGCCTAGCACCGAAACCTGCGTCGCTCCTATAAGGACCAAATCCACCACCCCTGTAATTTCCATAAGCACTGGCCATTCCATCATAGTTGTCAGCAGATGGGTGGTCCCTAGAGCCACTATCATATGCTGACCTAGCATTTCTACCATGCACTGGTGGTGGTGGTGGATTGGAGGATTTCTTTGGTTCTGCTTTCTTGATCTCCACCTACAAACAAAGCAAATGACCTAAGCCCTGTCAAATAACCTATGGGGCCTTTCTATCAATTAAGCATGATGTTCCATGAAATTAGCACAACTGGTGATTTGGAATAGAAGAATGCATTTTCCTTTTGTTGACATTACTTTACATATTATACACCATATGTACACAACGGAGGGGATAACCATTTGTGTCATTTCTATAATGAACTGCAGACTCACCTTTGAACCAGCAAGGTCAATCATATTTCCATTTGCTAACAAATCATCTACAACTTGCTCAGAAGCAAAAACTATAAATCCAAAGCCTCGAGAACGTTTGGTCTCATGATCAAACATAATCTGGTGGTCTACCACAGTCCCATATCTTGCAAAGAAACTCTTGAAATCGTCTGATTAAGGAAACAAATAGAACAATCATCAGGGCAAAATCGATGTAAAACAAAGCTGATTCATCAAAAGCCATACTGATATTACCGTCTGTTAGTGTTGAGGGAAGCCCACCAACAAATATCTTTTTAGTCTTGAAATCCTTGGAGCTAGACTGCACAGAACCTTTTGGTATGGTTCTCTTAATCTCAACCTGCGGAGTAAGCAAAAGAAAGCACTACTAAGTAACTGTCTGCTGTGAAAATGGGTGATGCATCAGGTATGGCACAAATGAAACTTCCGATGGGTAAATGAGGATTGTGAAATCACATTTGTAATAGCTACATTAAGTAACATGAGCAACTTAACAGACTAGTAAACCTGATGCTAAATTGAATCAGAAACACCATGGGTAATTTGCAAATCCAGCACAGCAAGACAATAGACATTGACATGCCAATTTCTTGAACTAACAAAGCAAACAATAGATAAACATAGAAGCGATAAGTCACCAAAGCAACACAAATGTGTTTAAAATGCATTCAATCCATTCATAACTTGATAGCCAAAAATATAACAATTGCACATAGAAGTGATAAGTCCTAATGGATATATAAATTGAAAACCTATCCACATATATTTTAACAAAGCATCAACATGATACAACAATTGGTGTTGTATCCAGATTTTCTAATGATCACACTAAAAACCTGATTACCTAGCCTGCAGTCATCGACAAAACTATAAGAACTAAAGCGAAGAATTAACAAATAGAGCAATTTAACTCCTAAGTGATGATACTGACTTGCTGAGAAACAAAACTTACTTGCTTTCCATTGATAACATGCTTGTCCTCTATCACTTTATCAACAACAGCAGGGTTAGAGTATGTAATGAAGCCAAAACCCCTTGGCTGAGATGTGTACCTATCCTTCATTATCACTGAATCAACTATTTCTCCATATTGTCCAAAATGCCTGACAAATGTAGCTGTAGCAAGAAACAGCAGCACAAAATCAGTAGAATGAAAACAGACCTAATATGAGAATCTATCAATCCTGCTATTCACTAGTAGCTCCACGCATCAGATTGATGAATAAATGAAATATAGAAAAAAGAAAGTAGCACAAATGCCAAAATTGCAGTGCTGTGTCATGCCCTGCTCTATAAACTACGAGTATTCCCCATGGTTCAGTCGTAACCCTATAGCCTCATTATGTAAAACTGGCATCTCACTAATTGCAACACTAGTGAGCAGATTTATTGACAAAGATTAGATAAGATAAAAAAAACTTATCTTCCTACAAATTAACATGTTTTTGTTGGATGTCACCAGTTCATATAGCTAGGCGTTCCTCAATCCTCATTACAATTATTGGCAATGGAACATAATACGGGCACACAAAGATCTTAATCAGGCATAACTGCAGATATACTACAAGTGCCTGTAGCAACTAAAACAGATTCATTATCACATAACACAAGCATCAAAATTCTAGTTTGTTGTGTAGGTGCATTGCATACAGCTCAGCTAGTATTACTTACAAGTCACAGCACACAAAACATCAGTGTAAAATTTCACACAATTAACAAATATGACGAGGCACATTACCACCACAGAAGTGCAGTAAAAAGCGCCATACATCAAGAAATCAAGTGAATAACAGTGTCCACCAGGCCCGGCCCGCCCCGCCCCGACACATCCCACCCCACGTCCCAAGCTCAACCCCCTTCCCCACCCCCCAAAAAAAACTTAAATAATACAACAGAATCGCGATCTCATCTTATAATCCGCAGAAATCAGTACAAGCATCGAACGCGACAAGCACAGAACGAAGGAATCGATCAACCTACCATCAGTGGTGTCCCGCGGGAGCCCTCCAACGAAGATTTTCCTGAAGATCCCGAAACCAAAGGCCAACCAATCAGACCGCTTAATCGAGATCCAAGCCGTGAATTAGCGAAGAGAGAGGGGGCGCCATGAATTCATACCCCGGATTGCCGCTGCCGCCGCCGCTGCTGCTGCCGCCGCCTCCACCACCACCACCACCGCCTCCGCCGCCGCGCCCCCTTGACCTCGCCTCCGCCTTCCCCATCGCCTCGCTAGGGTTGCTGGTTGCGCAGGTTTCACTCGCACAACCGCGTGTGCGCTCGCGGCTCGCACGATGATTGTGTCGATGGGGCGCGTGCGGCGGTGCCCGTGCACCCTTATGTGGCCTGGCCCAATTGTAGTTGTAGGCCCGTGCACGCTTTCTGAACCGCTACCCCACGGCCCACGGCCCGCGAGAGTTCACTTCACAGCCGCAACGACCGCCTTGCAAATTTGCCCCGCTGCTGCAAGCCTCACCGGGAGATACGGGGGCCTCCGCCGTGCCCGCCCCCAGCCGCCTCCGCCTCGCCGTCTCCTCGCCGCAGCCGCACCGGGGCCTCCGCCGTCCGCGAACTCGAGGTGACTACGCCTGCCCGTCTCCGTCCCCTCTAACCCCCATTTCTCCACGCATTGGTGTTGCGGTCCCGTGCCGTGCGTTTGGGGATTCGCTGCTCCGTGTATCGGGTTAGGGCTCGTTAGGCTTCTCACCGGGCGTGGGTTAGTTTAGTGGCGATACGGGGCCGTGGCAGGCGGTCGGGTGGATGTGAGATGTGCGATTTGATCGAGCCAGGGTTGCATGTGCTTAGGGCTGGCCAAAATGTAGCGGGATTTGAGTTTCTGAGAGTGTATTGCGTGTGGGAGGTTTTCAGGTTGTGCCCTGATTGATGCGTGCATTGTGTGGTGTGAAATGCCGAAAGTTCACTGGATTTTAATAGAATTATTATGAAAGTTCACCGGATGGGTCAGGCGCTGCAGAACACAGACGTGCACAGCACTACAGCAGAGTGGGGTGGGTGTGTATGATATCATAATCATTTGCAAGTGTGAACAGTGAATTCCTTATTCACCCCATGTTTGATTTTTCTTCTTGATCGTTGTGCTGAGAATCATGCCATGTTTGATTTTTTGCAGAGAATCTCCAGCCGATGTTGTCTTTGATCTGATGTTTGGAGTCTGAATTGAGCTGTTCCCCTCCATCGCCCGGGTCGTGAAACCCGACAGCAACCAGCCAAGGATGCAGCTGCGGTCGGGCCGCCTCCTACCCCCGCTGTTAGCACCTCCTCAAGGAGGCACGTGCAGTCCTGCGTGCTGTCCTGAGGACCGGCTCAGCGGACTACCAGACGATCTGCTCATCTTGGTGCTCGTGAGGCTTCAATGTGCCCGTGAAGCAGCACGCAAGAGCGTGCTCTCCCGCCGCTGGGCCGGTCTCTGGAAGCAGCTCCCGGAGCTCACCTTCAAAGGTGTCGACAACGACTCTGTCAAGGCTGCTCTCGCCTGTGTCACACGCCCCACGCTTGAGCTCCTCGACATCCGTTTGAATGGCATGGTGGCTCCTGGGGATGTCTCTTCTCTTCTCGGTGCGGCAAGCCGCACCGCTGGCACCCGACAAGCTCATCGTTACCTTGGAGGAGTCCATAGACCCCTTTGAGGCCGACGAGTTGCACTGCTTATCCCGTACCACCTCACTGCAGCTTACCGCTCAGGATCTCTACATCGCACCGCCACTGTTTGGCGAGTTCACGTCGCTCAAGAGTCTCTTCCTACACTCATGCCGCATTGACCTTGGTGCCCTGCTCCCCGTCTGCCCATGCCTAAGCATTCTCAAGATCAGCGACTACTGGGGGAGCGACGCCATCACCATTCACTCTTCTTCGCTTGAGGAGCTCAGCATGGACATCACTAGTTGTGACGCCTATGATGATGGTTGTATCGACATTGTGTGCCCAGTGCTTAAGAAGGTCGAAGTGGAGGCTGGCCGTGCCAACATGCTCAGAGTGTCGTTCTTGGCACCAGTAGTGGAGGAACTTTGCTGGTTGCTCAAGTACGATTCCCTCCACCCCTACTCTGATTTTCTCATGGTTACTGGTGAATGGTGCCTTGGTGGCATTGGAGTGCGGTTTGGAGGGAAGCAGCTACCTCACATCAACATCCTACGCCTTGATATCCATTGCACCTGTGTGCGTATTCTCACTTGGTTTTCAACTATTTGCTTACTTCCTTACTATGTGAGATGTTGATGTAACGAATTCACAATTTCTGATGTCCCTATTCTCTCAGCTGATGGATGTGGAAGGAGACGGTGAAAGACAAAGCACAACAGAAGCTATAGCTTGACTTCCAGTGACCAACTTCTCTGTTTTGGAGCTGTATATCTCGGCCAATGCACATGTTATTGGATCACTGGTGTCGTGTCTTCAGATTTTACCAGCTATACAAAAGCTTAAGCTGGTCATGGTTTGTCAAAGTGAGGTAACATATCCACTCAATCTCAGTATGTGCTACTCCTTAGTCTTTTCCACTGTCCATTGGCTTCCGGTTTATATGCTCAATCAGGTCCAGTGGATGTGGATGGATCTGTTAAGCTGCTAACAAAACAACTGATTTCCATATAATTATTCTAACAGTAAATATTGACTAGCCTTAGAATCTCAGTTGGCCAGTGCATCATTCTAGCATCAAATGTTGCCCATAGTAGAAAAAGCATCGATGACTATGGACATACATACATGTGCTTATACACCATATGCTATTGCGTAACTACTGGATACCTAGGATGGTATGGTTACATACTACTATTGACTTTTGAGAAGGCCATATGTGTACTTCTCTTCAAAAAAAAAGAGAAAAAAAAGAAAAGGAGTGCACGTGCATGCTTTTTGACTAGTTTATGTATACATACTTTTTGGACAAGGGACTGTGTATACATGCTTTTTAGATTGAGCATATAAATACATATTAGTTCCAAAGAAGAGTATACATGTATACTTAACTTTGAGACAGAGTATGTATACTGTAAACATAAAATTTTCCTAAGAAGGTTGCAAAGGGTACAGGTAGGTTGCAAGGTGAAGGATACTTATATATGTTAAAAAAACATCCTCATACTAATCACATGCCAATTGTACCTGAAGATTAAATTAACAAGTACCAGGGAAGATTATGAATGTTGTACCCACAAATTGAACCGTGAACATGAGAGAGAAGGCAGCATACCTTACCTTTGAAACTGCAGGGTTTTTTTTTTTTTTTTTTTTTTTGCTATTGCTTCCTGTTATGTTTCTTCAGGAAGCTTCTTGCCCGTATGAACAATCTGAGAGTTGGAGAAGTGACAACATCTTGCTGACAGATCTGGAGGTGGTGGAGATTATAGGCTTTTGCTGGAGAAGACCATGAACTTGATCTCATGGAATTTATATTCAGATGTGCGCCAGCACTTGGAACAATGTCTGTGACGTTCAGTGAGCACCTATCTAGTGAAATGGTGGAGGAAATCTTCAGCATTTCATGTGTTGGATAGGTTTGGAATTCTTTATTGTTCGTAGCAGGGCCTCTTTTAATGGCTATAATATAATGAAAATGAACCTGCAGTCGAGTTCCTTGTTCCCATTATCAGGCCATATTTAGTTCCTCCCCCTAAAGTTTACTCCATATCACATCGGATGTTTGAACATATGCAAAGAGTATTAAATATAGACTAAAAAAAATAACTAATTGCACAGATTACGACTAATTTGCGAGACGGATTTTTTAAGCCTAATTAGTCCATGATTTGACATTGTGGTGCTACAGTAAACATGTGCTGGTGGCGGCTTAATTAGGCTTAATAAATTCGTCTCACGGATTATTGGATTAATTAGGCTTAATAAATTCGTCTCACGGATTGCTGAGGACTTCTGTAATTTGTTTTATTATTACTATCCGAACACTCCCATATGACATCCTGATGTGACATTCCTAAATTTTACTTCCTAGATTTAAACACCACCTCAGTCAAAACTGGATATGAGTGCCCAGTTTATAAGAAAAGTATCTGTTCCAAAATGGTATCTGACTCCATTACCTGGTCGTTGTACTTGTCGCATTGTCAGGAGGAAATTAATTTTTGACCCCGTTCGCTTCGCTGAAAAAATAAGCCGAAACACTGTTCCGGCTGATTTGTCGTGAGAGAAAAATATTGTTCCGGCTGAAAAAAAAATAAGCTGAAAAGCACGGATTATAAGACAAGCAAACAGGGCCTTTTTTTCATGCTCGGTTGTTTTGCTGGTTTTTTTCCCATTTTCTTGTTGTCCTTACTCTTGCCATCTTCAGTTTGTAAACAAATCCCAACTTCTTTGAGCTTCTGAAGAGAATAAACTGTGATGGTCTATATGGTTTAGTTTCTGAAGCCATATCAAGTGATCCAATCCTATTTGATCTGGGGGGGTTGCACTGTTATCTGCAGTCCTGTTGAAACATGGTTGTGTATTTTGTGATTTCTCCGATTTCTTTGGTGCTTGCAGTTTTAAACCAAACCACTATGTTATCCCATTGTTGCTATCTTTTTAATAGGATTCTTTGGTGCTTGCAGTTTTGAACCAAACCACTATGTTATACCTTTGTAACTTTGTTACTATCTTTTTAATAGGAAATCATTATATACACGAAAACCATGGTTTCAGATTCTTGCATGGTTGGACCTCGGTGGCCGAAAGCAACCTGCTTTCTCGTGTGGCGTTGAGACGGGTAACAACCTCCATTGCAATATCTAGTTGAATCTCATGCGTTGCAAGATATGGCTCGAGGCTCGACCAGTGAGAGTGGCCAGTCGCTGGCGACCTTGCCAGTGAAGAGGGAGAGGTCACCACCATTGATCCGGCCGGCGGGTTAGTAGACCCATCATCTATGTGCCCTCACCCCTGGGCAAAGCACAGATCAGACTGCATTGCGTCTCAAAAAAAAAAAAAAGATCAGACTGCATTGCATCCCGGACGCAAGCAATGGTTGCCGATACTGGCCAGGAAGCCCGACGTTGGACAAAATGGCCCAGGTAGGAAGGGGATTGGGCTCTAAAATTTAAAACAACAATCATACGTAAATTCTACAACCCCAAGCAGGTGGCTCCGAAGATTACTACAAAAGCACGCTAGAGAGTGTTTAGAGCAATCGAGCTAAACACATTCTTAGCAAGATTTCACACATCCTCCGCACTCTATCATGTAATTCAAGTTGTCACTCAACATATGAGCTTGCACACAACAAGCTAGGCATGAGCTAAACAAGAAGTAATGCAAGAAGAAGAGAAGGATAAAGAGACAGCCAGATTTTCCCTATTGATTGACACAACCCCTAATCCACATTGGAGCACTAAAGATTCAACAAGACTCGGTTTAGCTCCTCTCCAGTAATGAATACCCATTCTCCACTCTGAAATGGCGGATTCCATACCATGAACACCTTTTAGAGCCTCATCAAGGAAGTTCACCAAGTTCCCCATCAGGCCTTCTAGGTGACAATCACCAAGAGTAACAAGTTCTCAACAACAACTTGATAGAATCCAACTAAGAACACTAGTATCACTCAAGGCTAACTCTTAATCTTCAATTGTTGGCTTTGATGGATCTCCCACTCTTCACAGATTCTCTCTATAGGTGTGTTGGTAATATGCCAATATGGGTGGAAAAATAGCTCCAATTCAAAAAGGGGTTGTACTTATAGGCCGCATTTGGATCGGAGGAATGTCAAAGGAATATAGCAGGAATCGTAAAATGGAGGAAAGGAAACTACAATGAGCGTTTGGATTGGAGGAAGCGATGATTCATTTTCTCGGGAATGCTGTAGGTAGATGCTTATTTCATGGAAACTGAAAAATCTAGTTTGATCTCTTGGTTTCTCTTCGTCTCGCATAAGCTCGAGGTAAACACACGTGACAAAGAGCGAAAAGTAGTCAAGCAGCCAGCACAAGTAGTAGGAAAACTTGCCCATCTATCTCTGTCGCAGGCTCATAGCTCCATGGCCATTGTTGTTTGAGGCCGCGCTGTTGTTGCCGTGCCCCACTAGCACTAGGTCACCTGCTCACCCATCAAGGTTTTGAGTGACGCGGGGTTTCCGGTCATTTACTTTCGTTGTTTTGGGACCCACCACGGTTTTGATAAAGTTGCTAACCCAGAGTGCATATTAAGTCTGCTTATTACTAGTATAATCTTTCGCTAGGTGCTTCTAATATTTTCTTTATCATTCTCAATTTTCAAATTCCTATGTTCAAAATTCATATGCTCCAAACACCTCTCTGTTACGTTCTTCCAATCCTTTGTTTTCACACTCTATTCCTATCTCTTTCCTCTATTTCCTATCATTCATGTATTTTCAATTCCTCTCTTCCAAACGTACCTATATATTAGGTAAAGAGGCTGTCAGCTGTTGGAAAAGGCAGATAGACACATGCACCACCGGATGATCTGTTAACCTTGTCTGCCTTCACCAGATCATATGGTGACACAGTGCTATAATATTTTTCCAATGGTTAGAAGCCAATATATCAGAATATTCGCCGCCATATGATACACCGGGAATCATGAAGTCTCCACCGATCATACGACACAATACAAAGACTTGGCCAACTTATCACGAAGTTAAGTTTAGCCCACGAGATGATCCTCTAAGGAGTAACGAAGTCTCCTCTGGATCATACGCCGCACACCAATACTCTGGCCAACTTGTCACAGAGTCAAGTTGGTCGTTATTTATCGGACAATCTATCGGGAGCCACAAAGTCTCACCCCGATCGTATGGTGCACGTAAGTGGGTTGGCCACTTGGCCAAAGTCAAGGACCAGGCTTTACCCGATCATACACTGTGACCACTAAAAAATGGGGCCAAGTCACCCTACCCTGCTGCATAGTACCGACCGCCAATGATCCGTCAGGTGTTACCCCTATCATCCAATGCACATTCTTGTGCATTTTCTGAGCACGTTTTAACTCTAACCTCATTCAATTTAACTTTTTTAGTTCCTTGACTTGAAACATATCCAATTGGGCCACTTTTTCCTTGGATTTGATGAGAGTAAGCTTATTAAGCATACCAAATGCTCTCGAACTCACTTGAGATGCATGCCTTGGAACCTCTCCTAATAATATGACTAAAGGAAAATAAATTCCTAATACACTGTATGTCAACGTGTTCCCGAACATCAAACTTATACTTGAACATATAGATCCTTAGTCTTTATGAATATCCTTTGCACATGTCATGGTAGAGGACAATATGTGGAGCAACATGGGAGGACACGGAGGGGCCGAGGCTTTGGTTGGCAGCAGAAAAACCCCAAGGTGGATCGCTCCCAGCATTGCTCGTTGGGACCTCACATCTGTAACGAGGCATTAAACCAATAGAAATAAATCAAACCTTGCTCTAAGTTTACTACTCCCTTCGTCCCAAATTATAAGTCATTCCAACAACTTTTTTGAGGGTTAAAGTATATCAAATTTGACCAAAATAATACCATTTATGATACCAACTAAGTATCATTGAATTATTCATTAATTATATTTCCATAATATACCTATTTGATGGCATGATTTTTGTAGTTCTCTATTAGTCAAATTTGAGATACTTTAACTCTTAAAAAAGTTAGAATAACTTATAATTTAGAACGGAGGAGTAGATATATGCGTGCACAGTCATTGTGCAAGGTTCCTTTTTTTTGTAATTATTGTGCGCTTTGGCCATGAATCGCGATGGATGGATATGGGTCAAACACATAGATCTGCCAATACATGTCGGCGCTCCATATGCACACCAATCACGCCTCCTTGTCCAGCAGAGGAAGCTTCCTTCAAGTAGTTGGTACGGAGTACATCATTAAGTTCGCAACATAAACTGGAAGTGAGAAGTGACTTGAGTAAATAATCCAGCTATATATATACATGTCAATTGTCAAAGGAGTACGAACGTAGGAAACCGAAATGTCATCTGACAAATGCATGAAAATTGGAAAAGGGCATCATTTTTTCTTGTCAACACAAATGTTTGCGGCGGTAGAATTTACTAGTTTACTTGTCTTGGCGTCTGGATTTTATATACTCTCTCCGTTCCAAATTATAAATCGTCTTGACTTTTTTTTTATATATATAGAATTTGCTATGTATCTAAATATTAAAGTAAATTGTTTGACAACTTTGTTATCTTATTGTTGAACTTTCATTTCATTTTATCAGGGCAGCAAAAGTAACCGATTTTTTTGCCAGCTTTTGCTCTTAGCACCAGCAGTATACGGGCCAAAAGTGCTAAAATTTTGGGTCGAGGCAAATTGACAAAAGTAGGCACATATTGGCCCTGTTCGCTTCTCTAATGTTCCGTCTTTTTCAACTTGTTTTTTTTGTTGGAATAGTATTTTTCTCTCATAATAAATTAAC